TACTTAGCTCCAAAATTTGGACACCAAAATGCCTAGGTCAAAATCTAGGTCAAATTTATAGTTTTCCCTTATTTTTGCGATTCTGACACTATATTTAAATGATTTGCTTTAGAATTTTGTATACAGGTAGCAAAGAGTATGCTAATAGTGTTAGCGTTTTGCCGTCAGAAAGTATTTTGACCCACTTTTGAGATATGGTGTCCAAAAAGTAGGCCAAAGTAAAAAGTTTTCCAAAATTAACGTATGAGTTATGAATTAAGGGTAGAATTTTCTCAGAAAACTAGATCTGTAAACCAAATTGCGATCCGACTACTTGTTCTGAAGTTATGGCGTTTTGAGATCTCAAAAATCGCTAAATTTGGTGCCCCATGTTAAATCATTGGGACCGAATAATTTTTTGAAGTGTAAAAATACGAGATATAGAATGAGTACAGCTAAACATAATGAAAGCTCATAGAAGAAGGGGACCTCAAAAGCTACTTTCCTTCAAAGTTTGGACACCAAAATACCTAGTTTAAAAAATCTAGGTCAAATTCATAGTTTTTTTCTTATTTTGCGATTCTGACACTACACTTCAATGATATTCTCCGAAATTTTGTATACTTGTAGCAAAAATTGCAATCCGACCCCAGGTTTAGATTCTACGCCATTTTGAAGTTTGAAATTCGCACTTGCCAGTATTCACGATGCAGATTGATCAAATATACTTTCAAAAATTCCTGCATACCCTACTTTACCTCTCTACCTACTCAGCTACTTATTTGACTACTTACTCAATTACTTAATTAGTTATTACTTACTTAGCAACTTACTCAGCTACTAACTCAGGTACTTACTCAGCTACTTACTCAGCTACCTACTCAGCTTTTTACTCAGTTACTTACTCAGCTACTTACTCAACCACTACTAAGGTACTTACTCAGCTAATTACTCAGTTACTTACTCAGCTCTTTACTGATCTATCTAGGTAAAATAAATCTGGAGTCTTAAATTGAACTTGTTCAATTTCACAAATCTAGTTATTATTATTCTTTATTATTCTTTCCCAGTTTTCTCGATAACCATAAGGTTTTCAGTAAAGTCAGTCATTTGGTCAATTTAGGTTCAGAATCTAGTTCCTCGGAAATTGGGTCAAATTTTTATCTAGGTCAAAGGTCAAGAACTAGGTCAAATCCAGTACTTTGTCACTTTTTTCGATTTTCTCGGTTGTCCTTCAATATTTTCGATCCAGGTTTTTTTCATTGTGTTCCTTATAAAAAAGTAGGAAACCTAGGGTCGATTTAGTTTTTTGATATCTCAAACCGATTTCGAGATATCAGTGTCCGAAAACGAGGTCCAAAAAAAAGTTCTCCTAATCAAATGTCCAGGATATTAGTCTTATAGGAAATTTTCTCAGGATTCCGAATCTGAAAACGAAATTTGGATCTGACTTCCAGTTCGGAAGTTATGGCGTTTTGAAAACTCAAAAATCGCTAAATTTGGTGCCCATGTTAAGTCAATGGGAAAAAATATTTTTTTGAAGTGAAAAATACGGAATATAGACGGAGTTCAGCTTCATATAATCAAAGCCTTTAAAAGAAGGGGACCTCAAAAGCCATCTAGCTTCACAATTTGGACACCGAAATGCCTAGGTCAAAATCTAGGTCAAATTCATAGGTTTTCCTTATTTTTTCGATTCTGACACTACACTTTAATTATATTCTTCGAAATTGTGTATACATGTAGCTAAGAATATGCTTATAGTGTTAGCCTTTTGCCGTCAGAAAGTATTTTGACCCACTTTTGAGATATGGTGTCCGAAAAGTAGGTCAAAATAAAAAATTCTCCAAATTGAATATATGAGTTATGAATTAAGGGTAGAATTTTGTCAGGAATCCGAATCTGCAAACCAAATTTCGATCCGATTTCCGGTTCGGAAGTTATGGCGTGTCCGAAAAGTAGGTCAAAATAAAAAAATCTCCAAATTTAACGTATGAGTTATGAATTAGGAGTAGAATTTTGTCAGGAATCCGAATCTGAAAACCAAATTTCGATCCGACTTCCGGTTCGGAAGTGATAGCGTTTTGAAATTTCGAGAAAAATCGATCTGATGGTATCCTGATAGAAAGTCAAGAGTAGAGAAGAAAATATTGAAAAATTCATCCATCCTCCTATCTCATCCTACCCTATCCTTCCTATCTATCCTTCCTTCATATCTTTTCCTTCCTATCCTTCCTATCCTATCCTATCCTTTCCTTTCTTCCTATTCTATTCTATCCTATCCATCTTTCTTATTCTATCCTATCGTTCTTTCCTATTCTATCCTACCTTCCTATTTTATTTATCCATCTCTTTCTAGATGACTCAGCTTATTCTGGATGACTCGGCTTATTCTGGATGACTCGGCTAAAAAAAGTCTAGATCTGGAGTCTGAAATTGAACTTCGTTCAATTTCCAAAATCTAGTTATACTTGTATCCCACATTTGGGCAAAGTGTACAGCTTAAACAGAAAAAAAATGAAAAAGCTTAACTAATTATCTATATAGTATATTAACTAATCAAAGGGTGCTTGATCATTGCAAGATTTTATTGGATGCATTTCGTGTTTTTTTCTCTCTCGATAAAAATATTAGATATATATTTTGCTAGTATATTTAATATTATTCCCTCTGAATTAAATAGAAACATTAATTTATGTTCCACGTTATTCATGTTTTCTAAATTTTGACAGTGTTTTTTTATTTTATCCATGTAACTTGACCGAACATCTTTTAACTTATTGCATTCTAATAGGTAATGACATTCTGAACCGGTTTTCTTGTTACACATTAAACATTTTCTTTCTTCAATAGGGGTAATTGGTTTTGTGTAACGACCTGTTTCGATTTCTAATTTATGTGCGCTAATTCTTAGCTTTGTCAAGTTATTTCTGTCTATTTCATTTTTGATTAAATCCAAGTAGGGTTCCTTGTTCCATTTTGCTTTTATTATCTTATAAAACCTCAATTTACCATTATTTGATTTTATTTTAGTTTCCCAAAATTGTATGTATCTATTTTCCAGTAATTTCTTAATTTCTCTTGGTTTTAAGTTTAAATAGTTTGGTGAAGTACCATTGTAAATATATTTAAGTACATCATTGATGTGCGTGAGCCATGATTGTTTATTCATATCTGTCAGTTGTTTATTTACCTCAAGGGCTTCACGTAGAAGCGAGTCGGTTCCTTTATTGTTAATATGATTAAGATATTTCATTTGTTGATAAAACAAAGAAATAAATAGTGGAAACCTACCTAAATCGCCTCGTGTAGCGTCATTACTGGCCTTTCTGTTAACACCGAGTATCGATTTCATAAATGATATATGAAGAGATTCAAATGTTATTCCATCATATCCCTTTTCTAATGCCCATTGTGGGTCTTTTTTAATTTTACTCGAGTTTAAGATACCCGTACCCCATATATCAGATCCATAGAGGCATATGGGCTTTATGAGTTGATCAAATAGTTTTAAGCATAATGATGGTTTCATATTACCATTAGAAATTAGACTTAATAATTTAAATTTTGCCTTTTCAGCTTTGTCTTTGATATGCTGGGCTGCAGGTCTCATTGACCCACTTATGCTTAATTCCATTCCCAGGTAAATGTATCGTGAAACAGATTCTATTTTGTAATTTCCTATAAAGAAGTGATTATCAATAAGTCTACCATTTTTATTCATTACCATAATTTTGGTTTTATCAGTGTTGATATTTAAGTGCCATTCTTCACAGTATTTTTCTAATTTGTCCAATTTGGTTTGCATTTCATCTTTTGAGGATGCGATAATTACTAAGTCATCAGCAAAAAGGAGGCTTCCAATTCGCTTATTATTTAATAATGGGTCTGTTTTGAGATCTAATGTTTTAATAATGTCATTTATATATATATTAAATAGAAGAGGACTCAGGGGGTCCCCCTGTTTTATTCCCTTGTTACAGTCAAATTCATTGGTAAATAAACCCTCATTATCTAGTCTGACTCTTGCTTTTGATTGTGAATATATATGTTTTATCATTTTATAGAATAAACCGTTTACACCCGATTGCAAAAGTTTCAAAAATAATCCATCATGCCATACCGTATCGAAAGCTTTCCTCAAATCAACAAAACACATATATATATTCCCTTTTTCACTTAGTACATATTTATCCACGAGGGTTCGTATTATGAAATAACCCAATTTTTCAGTCGAAGCGTGGGTAAATTTCCCATGGGGTTTGGGTCTCAAAATTTGATGTATGGGTTCCTAAGTATTATGAAGTAATAAAGAGTCATCCAAAAATATTTCTTATGAAAAGACATCTACCATTTTATACCAGGAAAATGGAGATGGCAATTTATCGAAAATAGCAAAAAATCATGAAATAACCGAATTTTTCAGTCGAAGCGGCGGTAAATTTCCCATGGGATTTGGGTCTCAACATTTGGTGTATGGGTTCCTAGTATTATGAAGTAATAAAGAGTCCTACAAAAATGTTTATTATGAAAAAATAGAAACATATTATACCAGGAAAAGGGAGATGACAATTTATCGAAAATAGCAAAAAATCATGAAATAACCGAATTTTCAGTCGAAGCGTGGGTAAATTTCCCATGTGATTTGGGTCTTAAAATTTGGTGTGCAGGTGTTTTAGGTCATGGACAACAGTAAGTGAAATGAGGAAGATGATCTGAAACAAAGTTGGTTTTTCGCCATATTTTGGACCACCCTAGGCGTCATGTGCAATATCATATGTACTATTTAAAATAAACATTAAAGAGGTGTCAAAAAATGTTTGATGTTCTTTCTCTAGATAACACAAATGAATATGTACATTTATGTTTGTCCAAATATAAGATATATTTTCTCGATCATGTTCCCTCGTACGTCGAGGAGCATAAGTATTACAGCATTTTGTTGTGAATAAGGTAAAATAAACTGCCGTTGTTCTTATGCAATGCGCTCTTTTATGAAACGCACTTGTTTATTGTTCTAGGGTTGGATCACTGAAGACCATACGGTGATCCTCCTCGATGACGAGCAAGATGAGCAAGGAAACTGGTTTGATGGGTATATTTACTTTAAACAGTCTTTAAAGATGTTTTATATGGCTTTTTACTTGATATTTAAATATGGACGTGGCTAAAGAAAACAAATATGCAAAAACTAAAGTTATTCCGCATTATTTATGTTGAAAGATATATTATGTAAATGTAACGAGCCTGTTCCTCCTCATTTTTACTTCTGGGGCATCTAGACCAACTCGCCATTTCAGATCCACTGTAACCTACATCTGGGACGTCAGTGACCTCGACAACCCTGTTCTGAGAAATGAATACTACGCTGCGCACGAGGCCATTGACCATAACCAATACATCCGGGGATCTAGAACGTATCAGTCTAACTATGAAGTCGGCCTGAGAATCCTCCAAATCAACCAGGTACAGGAGAAGGCTAAGCAGCTTGACCATTTTTGAAGTAAAATTAATGAATACCATATTCGTAAAATAAATCTAACAATAACTGTTATACATGTACAAAATAATGATATGGTTCAAGATATAAGATCTCAAAAATGTGTACAAACAATTTTACTCGATTACCGCTCAGCAAGATGGTTCAAGAGAAGCTGTTAAACATTTTAGATTTCAGATTTTTTCAATTGAAATTTTATTTTGACAAGGCTTCGTACAGTTTAACTGAAGTGGGTTACTTTGACGTCGACACTGGATCTACTGGAGGTCTAGTGGCTTTCCGTGGTTCATGGAGTAACTACCCCTACTTCGCTTCCGGTAGGTCATATTAAGCGTCGAACTGTCCGTATACAAATCTGGTGTACTGCTTGAATTGATATTGCAAATTGTCAGTCTGACTCCCTTGACATAGTGGCTATAATAGATATAGACCGTATTCATAATTTCGCCACCCACATCGATCTCTGATACTGAATGCCGCAATATGCATTTTGAATGACGGGACTTTAATTTGGTTTTAGGCCGTCCACAATATTATTGGCTGTAGTATGACCGAAATGGTACATCCTGTTATTTCATTTTTCAAAAAAAATATTCTAACAGTGTTCTATTCTATTTTTGGGGTGTTCCCCTTTCAGCTTCTCATAAATATAAATATGTCGATATAATCTCTACTAGGAAATATCCCAGTAACTTCTATCGAGACTGGTCTGTACATTGTGAAGCCCGATAATATGGCTATGGATGCGACATATGCTGCCAAATTGAACGGACACCAGGAGAGATCTCGCCAAGTGTTGACGGAAAGTGCCGAAGGCTGCAATGACGTCAGAGAGGAGAGATATTGCCAAGCAACTTGTTAATTGACTGATGTTAAATGATGAATAAAGTTGATTTGAAAATGTAACATTTTATCGAGCTAAATATGTGGATGTTTTCAAAGACATACACTCCGCATATCACTTTTGAACTACTTAAAGTTATATGTATATTTACACCAGACGTTGCTATTCACACCATTGTAAAATATGACTTATTGTATGATACCGAGGTGATAAAAAGAAAATATCACGTCGATTGTAAATTTAAAACCTATTTTTGTCAGCATTTTAATGAGAAAAATGTCGAAATGAAGGACATTTAATGATATACATCTGACATAAAAAACATTGTGGTAATAAAAACATGTGTGGTAATTTTGACAATGCGTATATCATCTGAGTGGTTCACGACTCGTATAAAAGGCTGTGGTGTGTACCTGTATGTCTGTGTACCTGTGCACATAAAAGAACACAGGGCTCCTCCAAGGAGGGGTTTCTGGCTCTATCTTCGAGTGTAAAATACGTAAATACGGAATATACCAATGAGGTATTGCTCGCCAAATATGGCGGTAACCAAGATATAATAATAATAATAATAATAATCATCATGGGATACTTTTTATAACGTCACCAATTTTGCATATTCCACGATTGTATTTCCCATGAATTCACAAACCTCTTGTTAATACTAAAAGATACCTTGTACATTTGGTTTCACTCACTTTGAGTAATCCAGACTGGTGGGAAAAATAAGTATTCAATCCTCAAACGTATCCTTCAAACCCCAATCATATCCTCTAAGTAATTATAGGAAATTTATTCCGATTAAACCTATAAATGATGTTTCCAACGTTAATTATGTTAAATGATGAATACCCTCTACGTTTAATTAGCTGATTATTTCAATTTCTATAATTAATAACTTAAGAGAAATAAAGCATCGTTTAACTAGCCATAATGATTCAACAGCAGTAAATTAGTTAAAACATAGTTTGTAATGATAGAAATAACTTACATAGAAATTACTCTGGAAACAGGTGTATCGACTTCAATTATTTAACTATATTTCTCCTAATTTGGCTTTGGTATATAAACATCGAAGCAATGATCGTAATCCAGCAACGCTTCTTACTGACAACTGTTCACAGACAAGCAGCATGGCATACAAGGTCTTCGTTCTATGTTTAGTGATTGCGTTGGTGAGATATATTCATTTATAAGAGAATTTGAATTTTGATCATCATGATATTTATTAACATGTACATAATCAAGGCGCCGGTGATTTTTGAAGCCTGTATACAAAAATAGATGGCAAAGATGCCTTTTTAAAATTGCAAAATGTAAACAGGTTTTTTAGAATCCAAATGAGAACCTTCTGTTGCCAAGCATTTTTATTGGGGGATACAAACGAAAATGCTCTGTTCTTTTTAAAATTCTTCACTTTACTTGTGCATATTCAGTTTATGATTATGTAAATGATATTTTACATTTTATGTTTCAAGATGGTGCAGTGTCAGGGTGCTCCAGAACCAGGTAAGATATATTCAAAAAATCATTCTTGAATTCATTTTGGTATATTCATCGCAAGATTGTTATTGTATATAATACAAATATCATCATATAATTTTCTCTTTTGGTATATTGTCAGATTGTTCCTGTAAGTAATATAGTATGCTATTTTGAATATCATTCAAGCATTCTCTTTTTGCATATTCATATATAGTCAAATTGTAATTATAAATATAACGATTGGCCTGGAATTTTTGTGTATTTTAGCCTTTAAGTGTAAAAGATGGGTATCGATATGGTGAACTTTTTGAACACACGTTTCTCTTAGACCAGTCATCAAAGAATTCTGAAAATGTTACTCATTGTCAATTTATGGCCATCTCTTGAATGGAAACAATATAATTTGAAATAAATATATGCGGTTATACTTTTTCAATATTGTTTTAGAAAAGACATCAGACACTTTTTTGCTCTTCATATGGAATGAAATGAAACATCTATCCGAACCTCATTGGAACAAATTGACATAAACACAACGTGTTTAGGTCTTTCAATATTGTAATTGTACAAAGGAAAGTTTGGTTGATTTAAAAAAGTATCTTGTTAATAAAATAAAAGGTTTATCTTAATTTTCATCTATTTTGGGGGGTTTTGTTTCAACTTTTTTGAATGCTTTTTCTTAAATCAACCAAAATTTCCTTTGTATAACTATTATATTGAGAGGTCTAAGAAAATGTTGCATATGCTATTTTGTTCAAACAAGCCAATTCGGAAAGATATTTTATTTCATCCGGGGATCACATATCGATACCAATCCTTTTAGGATCATTTATTGCGCGGTGAATATCTTGTCACATCGCGGATCAGAGACAAAAATGATAAAAATGTACATACACGTCGCACGAAACAGGGGACAATTAGAGTAACATTATGGCGTCAAAATACAAAAACAATACAATGGGCCGTATAGGGCGCAATCAGCATTATAACGTCAAAAACGACAAGCGTTACATTTTGTCAAGTTTAGTCAACCTAAAAATAAGATGCTTTATTCTTATTCAATCCTGGTGAAATTCACAGAGCATGAAGATCTCGAGGACAATATTTCTAAAATGTTTTTGATTTTTGAAAAACGGTCAGGAAATCCACTTGGGGCATTAGTAAAAATTGATATGTATGGGATTTGTGGTAAAAAATCGATGCGTTACATTTTTTCAAGTCTCTAAAAGCAACTCTTATTCTCTTATTATTTGAAAAATAAAGAAATCGGTTATTGTTTTGTAAATTTCGCCATGACAATATTATGCAGTTAATTTTTTTTTGAAATCAGACCTAAATTAGAAGGTTAAATAAAGGTAAATTTATTGCTTGTCTCCTTCGCCTTCAAAACCTTACACAATTTTGAAAATCTTAAAAGTGTTCATATAAGACGATTTGAACTGTAGCCGCTAGGCAATTGTGACGTCATAAAAACACATGTTTCAATGAATAAAATGTGAAATTTTAATAAAATTCTGATCAGTATTCCAAAAGTTATTCCGATTTCAACGAACCGTGTAAGCGTGAAATGTTACGCCTTACAGCGTATCTGACGATGTCGGAGTACATTTAACTTAAAAAATATGGTAGATCCCATCATACTTTTCAAGGAAAAATAATTTCAGTGAAATGCGAATAAAAAATACTTTAAAATGATATATAATACACATAGTTAGCTTTTTAAATAAGGCAGATATTAACGCTTAAAGCTGAGATTAGCCCGTATTTCCCGAATTGTCCCCAGGTCCGTGCACGTCATAACAGCGTTACTAGGTACTGATTATGATATGTGTTCATTTATAGAGACGGAGGAGTTGGAACGCAACAGAAGATGTGCACGCCCGTGTAACGCTAACACTGTGACAGGTTGTCCGCAAGGCTTTGTGTGTCGAGAAAAAGACAGTTGTGGAAGGGTCTGCGTTAAAGCGGTAAGAAACATTAGCAATATAATGCGAGAATCAGATAGAAAGGGGAGAAAATTACTTCCTGCGAAAGCTATTTGGATTTTGATATAATAGCTTTCCCACGGAGCATTTGGACAGCTCAATGATCGTGACCTTTGAAATCGAATTAAGTCGATCCGCGGCTTACTTTCGGTCTCTAACTGTGTCTTACATCAGTATCATCAATCCGTGTAAGTATTGGAGCGCTGGAGTACTTCTTTTTCGATCAAGACTTGTAATTGTTAGTCGAGTGAATCGTTTTACTGCCAAATTCCAATATGGCGGTTTCTGCTCGGACATTTTCGTAAATCTCCGGAGGTTGTCCGAACCTAACTAATTCTCAAAATTCATTTCGTTCGTTGCGTATCTCGCACCTAGCAAACCGCCATATTGGAAATAGGTCTAAAAAACTTTCACTCGATGAACAATTTACAAGTCTTGATCGAAAAAGAAGTACTCCAGCGCTCCAATACTTACACGGATTGATGATACTGATGTAAGACACAGTTAGAGACCAAAAGTAAGCCGCGGATCGACTTAATTCGATTTCAAAGGTCACTATTGATCAGCTGTTCACTTCTCCGTTTGAGAGCCATAAGTTTCAAAATCTAACATGGCTCTCGAAGTGAGTAAGGAGAAAACATCTTAAGCAGCATCTACGACCTCCGATTGTCGTAGTTTTTTTGTACTTCACTGGCACAGGTTTATTGAGGAACTGTGAAAATAACACCTAACAAGTAATTAAAATAAAATAAACTAGTTAAATAAACTAGAATTGGTTTGCTGTGAAAATAATACTTTAAACTAGTCAACTTAAGCAAGCCTCTTTCTACAAAATTGTTTCAGATGTTTATATGAATTTGAAGCATGAATAGGGTTTTACTTTCATTCACGCTGTATCAGCGTACTTTATCGTTCGTATCTTATCGTGAGGTCAATATCGTAAATACGATCTATCATATCGTGGGACCCCAACAAAATACTAACCAGCAGTGGAAATCTTCAAACAAACTGGTTCTGAAAACGAATCCGTTTCGCTGAAAAAAATCGAATAATTTCTATTTTTGTTAAATATATTTTGATATATTTACAGGTTGCGGTACCCCAATAGTAGCAGTGTTGACCGACAAGATCATTTACGACACGATGAAGCTATATTTAAACCGGAAATACATTAAATAACTCTGCATTGTTTGATAGTATTTTTGCTGTCTCCTCGAAATATTGAAATAAAATTTGATTTATTAATTGAAATATTCGATCGCATTTTGTGCTTTGCTTTGCAATAGAAGAGTTAAGGTAATGTTGTTCAGGTATATATCTTAATTATTCAGTACGCAATTGGTATATAATTAATTATGCAATTTAGGTATATATCGTTTTATCAGACGCATAATCCATTTTGCAGTTTCGACGTATGTCATAATTCATTATGTAGTTTCGATAATGCATTATGATTCGTATATTCAAAGTTTATTATGTTTAAGTGTGTATCACAATTCATTCATTATAAGGGGTGAATTGAGAAATAAATAAATAAAAAAATACATGTATATAGTTACACATGTCATGAGACCACTGACACAAACGCATTAATATTAATGGTACTTTTGTCATTTTCGCCATCTATAATAGAGAATGAAGTTGAATTATTAATCGACACAATATATAATTCCATATGAAAAGTACAGTTCCATAATGTGCTGCCATCTTTAATCATGTTACTTGTTTATTTATAATTTTAATAAAAGTTCACCACAAAATTAATTTTGGACAACAAAATAGATCAGAAACGGATTCAGCATCTTCTCGTATTGACCATTCACGGGCAATATTCATAACAATCAATATTTTATGACTTTA